GGCTGGCCTCGAACTCAGAAATCCGCCTACCTCTACCTCCCAAGTGCTGGGATTAAAGTCGTGTGCCACCACTGCCTGAGAACATTTTCAATGAGCATATAAGTCTTAAACTTGAAAGATTCTTTGTGTTCTTATTCCAAAGTTTCACAGTCCCGGTGTTAAATTGTCAAGGGAAGAGAAAATTGAAGCCCATGTTGGATTTACCCACCGCTCCATGGTGCATGAGGCACATCCCTCCCCAGTGTCCACTTGTACTTTCTGCTTCAGAAAGCCTGTCTCTGGACTTCTACAAAGAAAATAGCCTAATGGGAAAAGCTTCCCAAGTGACTTCACTGGGGCTCCCCTCCTCATACACCTTACCTGCTTACAAGAAAGTATTGTTTTAACTGTCTCATTCTATTCCCATTTCATTTACTTCAAAAATGTGGTCAAATATCAGCACAGACGCCTATTCTCACCTTCAGGGAAAAAAAAAACTGTAATGTTATAGTCCCAAAACATTTTGCAGTCACCTCTTTCTAGGTGTTTTGACTACGTATTATAATTACCAGTGTTATGGATTGAATCTACCTGTCTGATGAAGCAGGTACTTGGAAACTATCCCCTGATTGAGTGGATAGGTGACCAGCTGAGTGTTGATAGGTAATTGAGATTGTATCCTATTTAGTAGCTGCCATCCTTAAGAACACAATAGGTTAGGAAATAATTTGGTACTGCTTTTAGGTGAGGAAAAATACTAAAGTTTTCAACATGATTCAAAGTCGGAGCTAGAAGAGGAAGATGTATTTCTGTCAAACGTTCTTTAGACTCTAAGTTGTTCTGGCATATTCCATCAGTAGGCAATTCATGAATCTGGCAAGCTTACATCTATGACTTATGCTCTGGTGTTCTTTTTTTCTTCTTTTCACGATCTCTGAGTGACAGGATGAGGAAAAAGTCACACACATCTCTGCAATGCCATAAACTATAAAGTCAGTTACAGTCTGTCACTAAGAGAGCTGTGTTACTAGTTAGGTATGGACCATGAAGCCATCAAGCACCCACAAGCACATTTAGGGAAAAAAAATCATGAAGCAATCCATTCCATTAGTTGGAGAACAGCACATTCCCTGGGGGTTTACAGTGAAGCAGAGATGGGCTTGTACCTTCTGGAGATTGGCCAAGAAGAAATGGAAGGTGCCAGCCCTGTGGAAAGAGGAATGTTCTTTTGATACTGCCAACCATTGCCAGATACAGGAGTGAAAAGAAAAATCCAACTCTTCCAAGATATATGGTTCTGTCGAGCTTGTTGACTCAAGTGGTTTAAAAAAGCTTCAGAAAAAAAATAGTTTACTTGAACTAACAGCCTCTACACTGTTCAAGAAAAAGAACAATAAAGGTGATGTATGTGCTTTTGTGTGGGCGTATGCATGTACTGCAGGCCTTTGTGTACAGATACATTTTGCTGTGCATATGTGGATGGCATGGGCCAATGCCAGGGTCTTCTGCTTTCACAGGTCATTGTTGTGTCAGTTTAGCTGGTTGGTTTTTTGAGACAGGTGTCTGACTTGAACCTTACACCTCACTGGACCTACTGATTTGGTAGGCTTGCTGGACAGAAAGCTCCCAAGGATGCATCATTCTGTCTCATCTCTGAGAATAGAGTCACATGCCACTATGCTCTTTTTATATGAGTGCTCAGGATTCAAACTCATGTCTGACACCCACACAGCAAATTGTACCCGTGCAGCTATCTCTCCAGCCCAAAGCCAAATAATTTTACTCTACCATTGCAGAGCTCCAAAAGCAAAACAATATACATTATCATGAAGAAAGGGCCCCGCATCAAACAACCAAGAGAGAGAAAATAAGGAAATGTGCATATTACATGCAAAAGCATTCAACTAGTCACAAATCCAATACAAACAGCCCTCCCTCCTGAGGCCTCTATCACTGAGACAAGCAAGCTCCTGGCAGAGTCAGGTCCTATGCTATACCTCAGAGGGGCTTATTCCTACCCTCTTCTAGCTGTAGGTGGTGCCCTCACTGCCTTCCCCCTCCCCAACCTTGGCTGGTGCTCCTGTGAATCTCTGAACCCTTCTCAGTACACATCTGAATTTTCTCTCAGCGTTTACTATGATGACTTGCATTCATTTGACCCACTCTCCACGCGTCCCTGTCTGTGGATGGGGTTGGACATTTTCCTCCCTCACAATCTGTGCATGAGCTGGTTATGTAACTTGATTTCTAAAACCTAGCCTCAAGTAAAGGTGCTGAAGGGGATCTGGAGAAGCATCTCTTAGTTAATTCCCTGTCCCCCTGCCCACTGTTCTCTCCTTGAAATGTCTTTGGAGAAAGGATCATCTTTTTGACTACCTGTATTCTCAGTAGGTCTAAATTGATTTTTTTCACAGTACTTGGTAGAAGAAACTGGAGGCCTGGAAAGGTGAGCGTGCAGTGATCTTGAATATTTAGCAAGGCTCACACGTTTTCGCCTCCACAAGCAAAAATGCAGAAGGATGTCATCTGTCCTTCTGATGTATCCTGGAGAAAAAAACAAAAACAGTCAGAGAACCTTTTCTTATTACCACTTCCAGATGTTTCTTCTCTGTAGCTCATACTGGGAGCTGATCACAATCTCTGAAGCTCACTGTGCCCCTCACCACTAAAGTCTAGCTGTGAAATGTCCAGTCAAATGTCTAGGATAGTGGGTGGCTTCCCATCTTCTCAAACACTAAAGCTTATTATGGACTCCATGCGCTCCTGAACACCTGAGGAGCAGATGAACATAGATAGGCTCTGATGGGTTGACAATGGGGCCACTATAAAGGATAAGAGTGCATGATTTTTACATGATGGCAGTATTTTTATTACATACCTATGCCCAATATTGAGTCATTTAATACATTTGACTTTGCAAAAGAAAGTATCCGTAGTTGACTAAAATTCTGTATAAATACTATCTAACATCGTTCATACCAGACATTGGCATTTTATACCTATATGTAAGTATATATTATATTCAAGTATCACATTTTAGTAGACTTATGCCTAAATATAATCACTGTACATATTTAATATTGTGTATGTGTTTTATATATGTGTGCTTGTTTGTGTATGTACATATTTGTGTGCATTCTTTTGAACCCCCCTCTCCCTCCGGTGTGTGTGTGTGTGTGTGTGTGTGTGTGTATGTGTATGTGTGATGGCCAGTGGTTAATGTCATGTACCCTTCTCCCTTCCTCTCCACCTTATATGTGACTCAGGGTCTCTCACAATTCAGCTTCATTGCTGCATTGGCCAGCAAAGCCCAGGGAGTCCCTTCTCAGCACTGCTGTCAGAGACACACAGCCTCACTGTGCCTGACATTCCACATGGGTGTGTAGTGCAAACTCACGTCCTCCTACTTGTACCTTGTACAGCAAGCTCTTTAGAGGTTGAACTATCTTCTTCGAGACCCCCCACACACACATGATATTTTTTAAGTGTTATAATTTCATTATTTACTAACTCTCCTGTCCACCAGATAGACACAAAAAGTCTCTGTGCCCTTCTTCTAGAGTGTTAAGATCCATTTTGCTTCAACTAAAAAGAATATTCTGTTTAGGACTATTGTTGTCTTTGTTTGCTTGAGAAGAGCTAAGTAAAGAACTTGATAGTAATGCACTTAAAATGCTAATTAAATGGTATCATTTATATGCAGTCACAGGGTATGTACTCAGCAAACATTCTCTTACTCAGTCGTGTGAACCAGTGCCTTATGTTTGCAATGAATCAGCTTGATTTTCTTGTGTTAGAGCTTTGGTTCTATGAAAAATATTCAAAGGTAATGTAAAAAATTATGGGTAACTACTTATAAAGTTAAAGTGTTTAGCTACTGAATTTTAAAGTAATATTGAAAAATACAAACCAATGGAATAATTCAAATTATCCTTCAGGAAAGGTCAGTTTTTTCATCAGTCAAAGTGACTAATTCCCTCTTACTTAGATTTGACTGGTGTCATCAAGATACTGCAAGTTTTAAAAGTCAGGCATAGACTGCCACATACCAGCTGTGCACATCATTAAAGTGATGACACCATTGTCAGAGTGAAAATATCATTGTCTGACTTATGAAATCATTGTTAGAGTGATCACATCATTTTCAAAGAGATGACATCATTGCCAGAGTGATGACATCACTTCCAGAATCTTGATGTTTGAGAACACTTCTGAAGTTGGACCCCAATGTCACACATGTGCATTACACCTGCCAATTAGAACAGAGACACTGATGCCAGGTTCCTTTCTGACTTCTCAGCCTGTTCTGGTTCACCTACTCCAATTGTGACCATGTAGTACCCATCCAGTTTCTGCCTCTCTTTCAGTGCCGACTCTGAAACGTCACTGTCTTCCAAAGTCTAATGCATCAAGAAGCACCCAGTGTGTTTCCCCATCGCTCTTATAAAGCCACTGTGTGCAAGAGCAAGCAGGCAGGTGAGAAGTGGTATGAACTGCTTCAGGGAGCTCTTTCTATTACCAGCACAGTCTTTACCAAACCCCCTCTGCTTCCCCAAACCAGGACCCCAAACATGCCCAGCCCCATTGTCTTCAGTATGAAATAGAAGCAGCACACACCTCTGTGACATTAAACCCTCCTTTTCATCCTCACTCTGTTCCATGAAGTGCAGAAGTCAGCAGGCAGGCACAATGAGCCTGCTGTTAACCATCTTCAAAGCAGATCCCACATCATGGTGATGATGCTAGTTACTCTCAGTGCAAATATAGCTGGTATTGAAACTTTGTTATTAAATACTATACTCATAATGAAGCACTTCCTATCAATACAAATCTAACCAATGGACCAAAAACTTATCAGAGGTCTCAGTTTCTACAGAGCTCTCCAGGAGACAAGATCATAGAACTGAAGAGCGGCTATCAGCAAACCTCTCTGATAGGATGTCATGGAGTTGCAATACTCAAGGGTGTTTCAACAACGTCTTATAGGTACTGAGTCTCACCACAGTGTTTTTGCTTTTCAGTTCCCCCGAAAATATATGACATCTCAAATGACATGACCATCAATGAAGGAACCAATGTCACCCTTACTTGTTTGGCCACTGGGAAGCCAGAGCCCGCCATTTCATGGAGACATATCTCCCCATCAGGTGAGTGTTTACCCTCCATAATTGCTGGCTATGAAAAGTGACTGAGCCCCTTCAATTTCCTGCTCTCTCATGAGGTTATACATAAAGACACCATGGCTCAAGAAAACTGAAGAAATGAATAGCCCAAGCCATCAGTAAGAAGGTCTCTTAATTCCCACACGAGATTATTTTGATTTTAATATTTTGGACAATCATAAATCAATAGAAAAGGCTCAGGTGGAATTATTAATAGAGGGAGTAAACTGTTCATTTAAATTTGTGAGGGAATTATTCAACCACATTCACATGTTGATAGCCAGCATGAACTGCTGAGGTAATCAGGAGAGAATGAAATTATACAAATTGTATATTGCTAGGTGTGATTTATAGCTGCTGTGCATAATCAAAGACTTGGCCATTAGAATTAAATTTTCCTAACAAGGGATCTGATCATATAACCGGTGACATGAGATCTGTGGCATGTTTCTACGTACTCATGACTTCTACTCTGTTATGCACATCTTTCAGAAGACTTGAAGTCCGTTTTATCAAATTAGTGACAATCGTCATGCAAGTAGGCTAGTGTCTGCATTCATAATGCCAAAGCTTATGTGAAGTTAATGGTTCTGGACTAACAGGAGGAACTCTGGACATACAGACCCCTGACCTGACCGTAGGTTTCATGAAAGACCCTATGTCAAGGGAATGAGTGAGACAGTGATTGAGCAGGACTCAAAGTCCACCTTTGGGTTTAGTATGTACACTGGTGCATGGACCTGCTCAGGCACCTGTGCTCTAGGCTCAGTGTCCATACTGGTGCGTACACCTGCACAGATACTTGTGCTCTGTGCTTAGTGTGCACAGTGGTGCATGCACCTACACAGACATCACACACCAAATAAATACCTTAAAATAAAGAAATAAAAGTTCTCACTCTGTAGCTTTAAGCATTTCTTGAAAATGAAGATATTATTATTTCATTGTCTGGGATCTTACCACATTTTTATATTACAAAATTTTATTTTAGTTGTTTTTCCTTTATTTTGGGGAGAAAAATTTTCAACAAAGCTGGATAGAACAATGAAACTGCTGTTAATAAAATCAGAAAGGAACATTTTATGTAGGCGTAGAAAGATCACACTTGGAGCATCTACTTTCATCTGCTAATGCTTTATTTAACGCTGTTCATCCTTAAGTGTCTTCCAGTTGCCTCATTTGTGCAGTGGGTTTAATGAGACTCACCCACACTGTATGGTAAGTATTGCTATTAATGGGAGAGAGAAAAATCAATATACCAGCATTACACACTTATGCAGTTTGCATTACGCTGCTGTAATAGTTCTGAAGTTTGGTGTATTGTTGACTACCAACACCTCACTTTTCAGAGCTTTGACAAAAAATGCAAAACTGATATGTGGATGTCAAACTCACGACAGGCTCTCTAGAGTCCAAAAGTGACACAGACTGAGACCAGGCATCGGATATACAGGTTTCTAAGCTGAAATACTTATTCTTGGGCTCATTCAGTCCTTGAGTGACTCTCTGCTATCTTCTAGTGTTTCCTACTTTTCCAAATGGGGTGACTATGATCGCTAGTTATATTTTTAGATTGGCAGAGTCATGTGTATTTATCAGGTATGTGATGGCTCAAAGCATACATATACACTCTCAAGCAGTTAGAACTAGCTAACAACTCATTGGCACTGTTTTTATCATGGGAACCCCGGCATTCATTCTCTCTGTATTTTCTAAGAGCAAGATGTAACAATGCCAGTACACTGTGCACTGTGCACTGTGCAGTAGAAGTCTTATATTTACTCCTCCCTTCTCAGGGTAACCAGCACCTTTTTCTAGCTAACCATTCTAGGGCTGATGGAACTTGAATGAGATAATACACGTGAATGTGCCTTGAGAATTATAAGGTGATATTCAAATGTACGAATGATTCTTAATCATCTCTCTGGGGATTAAATCTGATGGCACTGTGACTTTTGTAAGAATGAAGCACATAATTTCTATCTACATATAATTTTAGATTAATATTTCGGACTTAACACTCCCATTTCACTGTGCTTGCTTGCCTGCACAATTGCCTTTTTTTATACACTTAGATATATTTTAGTTTAATTAAATAACAAGAATGCCAGTTACTGAAGTTATTAGAATAAAGATAACAGATAGCATCACAAGCTTAAGGAAGACAGATTGGGTTTATAAATTAAACTGCTGCACAGATTCATTTTTCCAATCCTGCTGTAACAAGGAAATGAGTAAAATTAGCATAAACATTAATAATTATCTATGAATAGCTGGACTCTGAGAATATTTTCATAAATTTCAAATTATAATGTGTTAAGGGTCTACATTCAAATGCTGCCTCATAAAACATGCCTGATAATTCTATTAACTCATATTTTTATACTTGAAAGCAAAATCGTAAATTTCACTTACCCGTTTCCTTTTTTACCTGAGGAACATCAATGTCCTGCGTTATCTGATATTCTCCTTTGCTATGTAATAGAAGAATCTATATCTGGAAATAGTTGTCAGTACCTGAAGAGGTTTAGTGCTCTCAGTAGAAGCCATGCCAGGGTTCTAATAACATGGAATTGTTGTGTTTTCTTGACCAGTTTCTTGTGCCTCATCTATGATTACTTGAGTAGCTCAAAACTCTCAGACTGAACTATCACAAAGTCAAGGCATATATATTTTTTCATAAGAAAATTTGAGAATATTTCTTGGCTTTCTTTTTTTTATTATAATTTACTTTTTCTCAAATCGTAATTCATTCACACAGGAGTTATAAACACAGAAAGGCAGGATGTGGGAAGGGAATGACACTGGAGTGAGGGAGAATACAGATATCTTCAGAACTCGGTATCGGCTGGGTGAAGGTTCAGGGGACAAGTCACTATGACTCTGCCTATGACTCGCTTGTTCTTACCTAAGTTGGTATTGTCTGCCAAGGCTACCTATTTACAAGGTCTATGACTGCTCAGGCTTGTAAATTTCCACAAAAGCTGTCTGTTTACATTAGCTTATAGCCATCTGTTTCAATGTTTTTCCACTGAGACCCAAGACTTGGTGTTAGTATACATGTATGACAGGCCTATTGCTGATTTTAGGCCTATGGCTGATTTTAGGCCTTTAGTGGCTTTCTTTATATCTAGATATTTCACTGTGTGTTTATAAATAGTTTACAAAATCTCAAGGGTCTTTACTTCAAGCCTTATATAGTGGTGCATGCCTATATTTCCAGCAATTGAGAGGCTGAAGCAGGAGGATATCCGTGAGATTCAAGCTAGTTTTGTCTACATAGTGAATTTCAAGGCTATTCAGCACCAGGAAATTTTTTTTTTTTTTTTTTTTTGGTTTTTCGAGACAGGGTTTCTCTGAGTAGCCCTGGCTGTCCTGGAACTCACTCTGTAGACCAGGCTAGCCTCGAACTCTCGAACTCAGAAATCCGCCTGCCTCTGCCTCCCAAGTGCTGGGATTAAAGGCGTGCGCCACCACCGCCCGGCCAGCACCAGGAAATTTAACACTGAACCTCGTATCTATCCCTGAACCCAAGCTGTATTTTGACCCTGGTACAGCACTGTGCTCTGGAGCAAATATTTCCTCAAACACAGGAGGAGTCAAGACTTCACACTGTTTTTAGCTCCAGGTGGATGTTAGTAACCTATACTTTGGAGGCAGATTCTTTGTGCTTTGTTTGAGCTCTGACAGTTTCAACAATGTTCTCTTTTTTAAAAAATCAGAATGTTTGTACTTCAGAATTATATCCTGTTTCCTCCTAGCTATGGGATAGCTTCAGTCATCAGAAACTATCAAGATTGTGCTGTTTTTCCAGAGTCCCTTTGAGAAGCACATGACATCTATCTCTCCCTCATTGGTGACTTTAATTTTAATTTCCTAATCAGGATGCTAGTTGATTTCTGCACTCTATGGTTTCTTCCTTCCTTTCCTCACCCCGTACTTCCAATAAGCATCAGGGATAGAGTTCACTACAGAACAGGCCATTGTTGTCTTCTGTCGGGCTTCTTAGATGACATCACTGTGAATCCTTTATCATCCATACTCTCCTCTCCTGGTAGAACTGATGTTTTATTTGTAGCTCCAGCAACAGCAAGCCTCATACCTATACCTGTTAGTCCCTATAGTGTGCTGCAAGCATGAAACTCATGTTACGCAATTTCTTATTTATTTATTAAAATATTTCTCTTGGTAGATTAGCAACTTTTTGAAAAATGTTCAGGTTTGTGCATAATTCCTTACTGTTTAATCATTTAGATGTTCAAATTGTTTTTAACTTAGCCAGTAAGGGGTGTGTCTGTCAGTCTGTGACCTTATAAGATGTAGTCTCCTAATACTGAGTATGTCTGTATAGCATGGCATCACAAAGTACTGGGCTGTTGATGCATATGTCCTGGCCAAACTCTGTATTCAACCTCGTAACTACAACTGACAGGATACACATGGGGCACCATTGATCTACTATGGCAGATTAATCAGAGGACAAGCTGTCCAGATGACTTTCTCTGAAGTCCTAGTACAACACAGGATCTTAAATTACATTAGCACAAGGGATGAAAAGAGCATTGAGTAGGGAAGGACTTAAGTGGGTTTGGAAGTCAAGGAAATTGAGATAGGAAGAGGAGGGGGTGAAGTAACCCAAACAAACATTTACTTTTCCCTTCAGTAAAAAAGATAAACTAAGGAGGAAGAAAGGAAGAAAGAGAGAGAGAGAGAAGAGAGGAAAAGAAAGGAAGAAAGGAATGAAGAAGGAAGAATGGGAGAGAGAGAAAAGAAAAGAAAGGAGAGAAAGTGGGAAAGAGAGATGGGTAGAATTAGGGAAGAAAAAAGAAAGAAAACAGAGAAAAGCATTTTATTCATTTTATAGAACAGCCCTAAAGAATATCTAGGTGTGTGTGTGTGTGTGTGTGTGTGTGTGTGTGTGTGTGTAAAGCATTTGTAGAATTACCAGAAAAACTGTTACGTGAAATCAAAGAAAATATGAGAAA